AATACTTATTGTATTTTGTCTCTCAAAATAGTACAGTCAGAACTGAATGGTCAATATGCGTTCAGGAAACAAGAATTTTATGGAGTAAAAACTTTTGTGCTGCAATAATATTTTGTTAAAATCTGCTGCAATTGTCATCAAATTGAGCTGCCAAGAGAGAACCACCTGTTATATCCAAAGTGAAACAGGTAGAAAATCTAGTTCTCCTGGAACTCCACTTAGATTTTCTACAGTTTTCGTTTAGAAACAAGTACTTAAAGATCCCCAAACAGACCACGTAATGATAAACAAGTCTGACTACTAGTTATTAGGAAACCAACACATTGCTTGCTCTCCTGGAGTCTCAATATTGTACAGTAGTACTTTTCACATCATGGAGATAGAACTACAATGGGGCACACAGCCATAGTAATGGGGCCAAAATGGTTAACACTTCTAATCCATTTCAACCCAGAAAGAATTCAATAGTGAGACATGCTATTACAAGATAGTTAAGGTCGAAGATAATTAGTTGGCACACCTTAGCTCCTCTATCCAGCAGTTAGAACTTATTATAAATCTATCACAATTAGCTCTTATAAAGACTTCAATATAAAAAAAGAGGAATAATGTAAAAAGAGGGAGAATGCAGTGTAACAAATAGTTAGCAGTTGAAGTCCAATGAGTTACGAAGTTAATCACTTCAAGGAAAAAAGAAGAATGAAAGGAAACATAATCTAAATACTTAAGACTCTTAACGTAGTGCAGCAGAATAAAGATCAGTGGAACAGCTGCATAAAGAATAACAGTGAGAGTGCAAGTAGAAAAAACATGAAAGAACGGGATTCTGAATTTATTTACATTCATTTTGAATGTAAAAACAAAGTCATGCAATTAATTCGGTGACAGCTAGAATGCTGTGTGCCTTTCCTGACATTACATTAAAAGATATTGTTGCTATGAAAATAATGTAATGAAGATTCACCAGAATGATAAAGATCAAATGTTATACAAAGTAGTTAAATAAATGAACATTTTCACTGGAATTGTTAAAATAAATTTTAAACTTCTGAAAGGTTTCTAAGAACATAATAATGTAAGATTGTGTTTCTGTAGTTGGAATCAAAGACTGTCAATTGGAAGGCTGGAGGGGTTAGAATATTTTTTTAATCACAGCATTGGAAGAGCAGAATTCTTTACTGCAGACCACTAAACTAATTTAGTTTATTTCAAAGGGAATATAAAACACCTGGTAAAGGAGAGAAAGTTAGATTATGGCAAGTACGTCCAGTTAAGTACACATGGGCCAAATTGCCTCCATCGTTACTGTAATTTCTACAATAATGACACAATCAGAACTGGAAGTTACTTAACTAAAGTTCAGCAATGCTTTTACATACAAACATCCTCTCCACAGTCACAATTTATTTCACAAATCAAAAGGAAAATTAAGGAGTACTTCTCTCCTCCAAGATCACAGAACATTACTTGTGTCCCATACTTCAACAATGTTTAACTATAAAGGACTATTCGAACTTCTATTTGCTAATAGAAATGATACACTTCCAGATGCTGAACATAAATCAAGGCCAACTTTTTGAAATATTTCCATAAGTCAAAAGGTGCGACTTTAGAAGGACCCCACTTCATTTTTGCAGCAAGTGACAGTGCCACATCTCTATAGGTCCCAGCAGCTCAAATCCAAATCTATGCTGTTTCCCAACCTTTCTGATAACACAGAATTAGAACATTTTGCCTCCATCAACAACAATCCCAAGTGCTTTACAAAATAAAAAAAGCAAACAAAGAGGGTCTTACTAGAAGGAATGACAGAAATGTGATCAAAAGCTGGATTTTAAGAAGAGTCCCAAAGGAGGTGATGGAGGCGTCATTGAGTTTAAAAAGGTCATTCCAGACCATGAAACCAAAGCAGGAAAAAGCCTGGTGCCAATCATGAGCATTAAGTAGTGAGGTGTACACAGAGCAACAGTATGTTTTTGTCAGTGGGTGATAATGTGGTTGGGCTGCAGGACATTACAGAGAAGGAATGATGGAACAGCATGAAAAAAAATTAAATACAATGACAAGAATTTTGGAGGGTTTTGGAATTCAAACCAATGTAGTTTAACAACAATAAGGGTGATAGGTATGCAAGGTTTGGCACAGAACAAGATACAGGTATTGTACTAGCTCAAGTTCACAGAAAGCAAGGCAACAAAGGCATTCATCGTGTTTTCACCAGAAGATGGACCAGAGCTACATGTGGAGATGGGCAACATTATACACAGATATGAATGTTCAAACATAAAGAGTATTTGGAACATAAGAAGGCCATTCAGCCCCTTGAGCCTGCTCCGCTATTCAATAAGGTCATGTTTAATCTGACTGTAGCCCAGGGATGTAGGCAGTCATTATGACAGATAAGATTTAAAAAAAAAACTACAGGGTGGGGGGTGGAAACACGCAAGGGAAACTGAAAATTAAACTACAGGGTATAGCTACTGCTGTACATTCTTCTGATCATCTGAAGTAATTTTTTTTGAACCAAAAACAATTTGATTATTCAATTATTTGAATAAAGTGACAAAGACATTTAGTGCTAACCAGCACTCATTCAGTACTGTTGACAGTGACCCAGATTTATTGACATAATTAAATACTTTTTCTGTTGTAACATTCCAACAAAGATCTGCACTGCAATAATAACATTGGCTCCCTCTGGGCAGCTGGTACAATCTTTCTGAACATTGTCAGGGATCCCCTGTCCTACATGTCATCGTTTGGAATACTAGGTTCAGTTCTAGTCTTCTTGCTATAGGAAGGACGTTGTGAAACTTGAAAGGGTTCAGAAAAGATTTACAAGGATGCTGCCAGGGTTGGAGGGTTTGGAACTATGGGGCGAAGTTGAATAGGCTGGGGCTATTTTCCCTGGAGTGTCGGAGGTTGAGGGATGACCTTATAGAGGTTTATGAAGTCATGAGGGGCATGGACATGGTGAATAGCCAAAGTCTTTTCCCTGGGCTGCGGGAGTCCAGAACTAGACGGCAGAGGTTTAAGGTGAGAGGAGAAAGATCTAAAAGGGAACTAAGGGGCAATATTTTCCAGACGGAGGGTGGTGCGTGTATGGAATGAGCTGCCAAAGGTGGTGGTGAAGGCTGGTACAATTACAACATTTAAAAGGCATCCGGATGGGTAAAAGAATAGACAACACAGTGTGGAGCTGGAGGAACACAGCGGGCCAGGCAGCATCAAAGGAGCAGGAAAGTTGACATTTCGGGTCAGGACCCTTCTGTGAAACGTCAACTTGCCAGCTCCGCTCCTCCAGCTCTACACTGTGTTATCTCAGACTCCAGCATCGGCAGTTCTTACTATCTCTGCATAAAAGAATAGGAAGGGTTTAGAGGGATATAAGCCAAACGCTGGCAAATGGGGTTAGATTTATTTAGGATATCTGGTCGGGATGGACAAGTTGCACCGAAGGGTCTGTTTCCGTGCTGTATAGCTCTAGGACTATCTCCTTTGCCCCCATGTAGAATACTCTAAAAAAACTTACTGGTTTCTTGTGAAAAAAACAAGTACAACAACAGGGAATCTCATCAAGATGTGAATCTAATAATGTGCTTTGAGATCATATAGGATTTTTGGTTGTCATTAAGTTTTGGCTTTCTGACTGTTTAAAAGAAAATCCTTTGCAATAATATCATTCAGCCTGTTCTTGGCCTCTACCACTAGTGGTAATGCAAGGAGACAACACTATAATTAACGGATGTAAAAATTCTATAGCATAATGGTTGACTTACTGCAAAACACCAAAGTCTAATAAACTCCTTCAGACAAAATAATTGAGAAAGAATAAAAGGCCTACTTTCAAAGAGGCAGTCTTTCCATTTGCTCTTGGGAAATAAAGTCAAAACTCATTTGTCAGGAAATGCTTGGTTTGAATCGGAACAGATTATTCCACTGAATTCCAAATTACACACAGCATGAAAAACTACAAATGAAAACTGCTATGTGAAGCCTTCATTTTATTAATATTGCATTAAGGCAGCCTACCTTCACGCAATAGCTCTACTGAGAGCAGGGACTGTGGGGCTCAACTACGGTCAATTGCAGATTCACGATATTAATTGCACAGCGCTGCAATGCTGCCCTGGGATTAAATCCACATAGCTGCAGATCACTGTAATATTTGTTGCCATCAAACTGAATCTAACCCGCAAACAGCAGACATGGGAAACAGTGAGATTTACGCCCTTTGTAGCAGAGATCAAACTGCAGCGAGAGAGTTTAATCTCTCCTTTATTTCATTTTTGAATCACAGCGATACCAATCGTTTAAAAGTTGTTTGCAGTTTTGAAGCGGCGCCAATAACATTGTCGCGTACATTGTTTAAAGATTTTGTTTTTTGAAAAAAATACCAGGCTTCTCTTTGCAAATTCCTGAAAACAACTCTGTAATGCCTCCACCCAACCACAGATAATGTTACACAGGTAGAACTTCGAAGGAGTTGAAAAATATCGCTTAATTTAAAAAAGAAAAGAACATCCCTTGTTTTGAGGGCAAGAGTGATTCGGGATTAGTAATGGAGACGGCAAATGTACAAGTTATTTGGATCCGTTTTCAATGTAGAGAATATAAATAATATCTCAGGAAAGAGAAAAGCTGTAAGTCAGGAAATGGAAGGGAGAGGGTGATGAAAGAAAATTAAAATCACAGCGAGCAATTCAATCTCCCTGAAACTCTTGAGTTTGGAAAATGCAGAAAGCACTGGGCAGAATAGGCAGTGATTAAGAGTCAGGCATGAATAGGGATCATCTGACCTTGAAGTGAGTGGAAAGTATTGAAGAGGGTTCTCGGGGCGATAACGAAGGAATGTTCGGCTCCCGGTGAGCGGAGGCTTAGCCCCAGCCGGCACCCTACAGGTCCCCCAGCTCCTTGTTTACCCCCCAGCCGGCACCCTACAGGTCCCCAATTCCCTGTTTATCTTCCCCCGGGGAGGGTTGTAGTAGTGGTCTCCGTACCTGGCCGTGGTGAAGGCTCCGGCCCTGCGGGGTATCCTCGGGGCTGAAGTAGAGCCTGGTGCTGGCGAGCAGTTGCTGGCGCCCGCGGTCCTCCCACAGCAGCTGGAGCTCGGCGATACACTCGGGCTCATGCGGCTGGCAGCGGACAAAGAGGAACTGGCCGAGCCTGGCGCTGAGCGGCTTCCCGCCGCCTGGGGAGGCCGCCTCGGCCACGCTGAAAGCCCGGTAGAAGGTGTACGGTCCGTGGGAACCGCACGGAGGCCCGACCCACTGGCAGCGGCACGAAAGGAAACAAAGAAACGAGAGAGAGAGCCATTTAGTAACAAAGTATTCCCGGGGTGCAGCCGGGACACATTGTATCCAACTTTATCATCATCATCATCATCATTATTATTCCCCTATTCTATACAACTCAGGGACTAAACACTCTCTAACCCCCTTCAGCAAACTCCCAGACCACCCTCTCCTCATCACACAGCTCTCCCACTCACCCTCTCCTACCCCACAGGGGTTTTATTCACTAAAGGTTTAAAAAAAAAACTTTTTTTTAAAATGCTCTCTCTCTCTCTCTCACCTCGATTTTCCGCGGCTCCATATCTCCCTCCGGCAACTCAGCTCTGCAAAGGTCCTGGCAGCTACACGCCTCGCACAATTCAGAAACACTAAATCACTGCACAGGCAGGCAGAGAGGGGGGAAATAAATGAACAAACAATTCACCCGGCTTTCCCAGAAAAAACACCGAGTGAAACCAGCCCTCAGCCAATCTTAACCTGCAAATAGTGTCTTATTATTATTCCAGCCTCCTGCCCCTCTGTACCTTCTCATAGCCGGCTATTTATTTTTCTCACCACCTTTGTTTTCCCCACCCTGCTAAAAGTTAAACTGTAAACTTCTATTTTCGAGTTTCTTTTTAAATGCCCTAGCAATAAACTTTCTTTTATTCTTTACGCAGCTGCTAGGACGCCGTGACGTCACCGGAGTTGGGGAATGGGAAGGAGTTTCCATGGGAATGTGGGATTGGGATGTCAGAGACACTGATGGGATTTTGAAGATCTGGAGAGAAAGGCAAATTGGAAAGCATTTTTGGGATTGAGAATTCACATTCCTGTGGAGAACAAAGCCAGACACTTGGGATTGGGAATGTCTAACCTGCAGAGAGGGAGATAATGAGGAATCAGCATCTGGGATAATTCCTGCAGAGAGATGCTCCGGATACGAACAGGATTTGAGCAGAGCAACTGGAAATCTAAAACAGAAAGTACAAACCTGTGAAGAGAAAGGTATGTTCAAAGCAAAAAATCCATGCCAACAAATTCCGAGAACCTGGGATTACACTATGTTAGGCTGAGAAAGTGGGATAAACAATCCCAGTAAAGTTACAAAATGGGATTCTTCAACAGCAAATACGACTTGGGTGGGGAGAAACATGTTGGGGGACACAAACCTTGTAAAGGTTGAGGTAAGGAAGCCAGTTTTCGGAGTGAACCTGCATTAAGGGAGGTTGGAAGTCCAAATTTGTTAGCTTCATTGGAAATAAAGGTGAGGAAAAAATAGTAATATTTGGAAATGAACATACTGCAGCTTTATTTCAAATTATAGAAAATGAGTGGGACTAGTATGTGTCTGACACAAGTTTGACTGGTATTCCTTCAAAATTTGAGACCAGGAATTTAAAAAACAGGAATCTGAGATTTACATACACTTCTGTGTTACTCTTCAGAGTAAGGGAAAAGACTGAAAATTACAGGCCAATTAGCCTAACCTCGGTCGTGGTCATGGGTAAGATTTTAGAGTACATTGTCAAGGATGAGATTTCTGAATATTTGGAAGTGCACAGTAAAATTCAGCATGGTTTCATCAAGAGGAGGTCATGCCTGACAAATCGGTTAGAATTCTTTGAGGAAGTAAATAGCAGGATAAATCAAGGAGAGCCAATGGATGTTATCTACCTGGACTTCCAGAAGGCCTTTGACAAGGTGCTGCACAGGTGGCTGCTGAGTAAGATAAGGGCCCGTGGTGTTAGAGGCAAGGTGCTAGCATGGATAGAAGATTGGCTGTCTGGCAGAAAGCAGAGAGTGGGGATGAAGGGGTCTTTCTCAGGATGGCAGCCAGTGACAAGTGGCGTTCCACAAGGGTCAGTGTTGGGACCACAACTTTTCACTTTATACATTAATGATCTAGATGAAGGAACCGTGGGCATTCTGGCTAAGTTTGCAGATGGTACAAAGATAGGTGGAGGGACAGGTAGTATTGAGGATGCGGGAAGGCTGTGGAAGGATTTGTCCAGGTTAGTAGACTGAGCAAAGAAGTGGTAGATGGAATGCAATGAGGGGAAGTGTGAGGTCGTGCACTTTGGTAAGAAGAATAGAGGCATGGACTATTTTCTAAATGGGGAGAAAATTCAGAAGTCTGAAGTGCAAAGAGACTTGGGAGTTCTAATCCAGGATTCTCTCAAGGTAAACTTGCAGGTTGAGTCTGAAGTCAGGAAGGCAAATACAATTTTGGCATTTATTTTGAGAGGACTTGAATATAAAAGCAGGCTCTATAAGGATCTGGTCAGGCCACATTTGGAGTATTGTGTGCAGTTTTGGGCCCCATATCTCAGGAAAGATGTACTGGCCCTGGAGCTGGTTCAGGGGAGGTTCACAAGAATGGTCCCAGGAATGGAAAGCTTATCATATGAGGAACGTTTGAGGACTCTAGGTCTATACTCGATGGAGTTTAGAAGGATGAGGGGGGATCTAATTGAAACTTAATACTGAATGGCCTGGACAGAGTAGACTTTGGGAAGATGTTTCCATTGGTAGGAGAGACTAGGACCCGAGGGCACAGCCTTAGAGTAAAGGGAAGACCTTTTAGAACAGAGATAATGAGAAACCTCTTCAGCCAGAGAGTGGTGGATCTATGGAATTCACTGCCACAGAAGGGTGTGGAGGCCAGGTCATTGAGTATATTTAAGACGGAGATAGATAGGTTCTTGATTTTCAAGGGAATCAAGGGTTATGGGGAGATAGTGGGAGAATGGGGTTGAGAAACTTATCAGCCATGATTGAATGGCGGAGCAGACTCGATGGGCTGAATGGCCTAATTTCTGCTCCTATGTCTAATGGTCTTAACATCTTTCTAGCAGTCTGTAATTGTGAAATGGGCTTCTTATGGAGCAAAGTTAGGAATGTGAGTATAGTCTTCGAAAGTGTGGTGTTGGGATTGGAATACGGGTTTAATTGAGTGAGTTGGATTAGGAATGTACATCCTGTGGACCAAGATTTAGGTTATACATGTGCTACTTGTAGGGTGAGGTAGAATTTATAAATCAACTTCCAGCAGAAGTAGGAAACTTGTTGCTGTGAGCCTGAGTGGGTTCAGAGATATCCTTAATAAATAAATCATAAGTCACATGACACCAGGTTATAGTCCAACAGGTTTATGTGAAATTGCAGACTTTCAAAGCTCTGCTCCTTCCTCAGGTGACTTCAACTGATGAAGGAGCAGTGCTCAGAAAGCTTGCGTTTTCAGATAAACCTGTTGGACTATAACCTGGTGTCATGTGACTTCTGACCTTGTTTCCCCCGCTCCCCCCCCATCACCCATCACCAGCACCTCTACATCATGGCTACCTTAATAAATAAAGATATGGATTAGATCATGGGTTTGAATTATTCTTCCTGCAAAGTATGAGGCTATGTTTGGGGACTTGCTTCTCAATGCATTTGGCTGGAAATTATCGTATGCCTTCAGTATCAAGGTCGGTTTTGAGAATTTTTATCATGAAGAAAGGAATGTCTTTAATCAGTGAGATGGAAATTGAATTGGACTAACAATATATTTGCTGTAGAGTTACTGTAACACTGAAATATATTTCCTGTGGGATGAGGCTAAAGAAAAGAATGGGCATTCTGTAGAGGAAAATACAGTGAGTCCTCACTTAAAGTTGGAGTTGCATTCCTGAGAAGTGAAACATCTTTAAGCAAATTAGATTTTGTAAAACAGTGGGAAAGCTATAATTAGGTTCTGCAGAAAAGAACATGAAAACTTTATAACCTGTAAGGTGTAGGTGGTGGATGGTAGCAATGTCACTGGATTGCTAATTCAGAACTGCAGACTAAAGTTCTGGGGACACGTGTATGAATTCCACCATGGAAAATGGGGAAATATGAATGACAATCTGGATTTTTAAAAACTAGTCTAATGGCTATCATATAAACGCCATCAATTGTTATAAAAACTCATCTAGTTCGCAGATGTCCATTCTGGAAGAGAAACTGCCATCCTTACCTCGTCTGCCTGATATGTAACTCCTGAATCCACAGTAATGTGTTTGACTCTTAACTGCCCTATGAAGTGGTCTGGCAAGTCATTCAATTTTATCAAACTGTTGCAAAATCGAAAGAAAGGAATTAAACCAGACAGACCAGCTGGAATTGACCTAGACAAGGGAAACAGCAATGGCACAGACAGTCCTGGCAAACCTGCAAAGGTCTTCTTACAAACGTGTTGGGACCATAAGACATAGGAACAGAATTAGGCCATTCGGTCCATCAAGTCTGCTCCACCATTCAATTGTTGCTGTTCCATTCAATCATGGCTGACTTCTGCTTTCTCCCTGTAAGCCTTGATTCCCTTACTAATGTAGAAACTCCCTATCTCTGTCTTAAATATACTCAATGACTTGGCCTGCACAGCCCTCTGCAGCAATGGGTTCCACAGATTCACCACGCCCTGGCTGAAGAAATTCCTCCTGATATCAATTCTAAAGGGTCTCTTCACTCTGAGGCCTGGTTAACCAGCCTACAGTTTTCTGTCTTCTTCCTTCCTCCTTTCTTAAACATTAGCCATTTTCTGGTCCTCTGGGACCCTCCCTGACTCCAGCTATTCCTGAAAGATCACCATCAATGCCTCTACAATCTCCTCAGCTATCTCCTTCAGAACTCTGGGATGCAGTGCATCTAGTCTGGGTGATCTATCCACGTTCAGCTTCAGCTTCAGCTTCACCAGCACCTTCTCCTTAGTGATGGCCACTACACTCACCTCCAACCCCTAACTAGTGCTAGTGTCTTCCACCTGAAAACTGATACCAAGTACCTATTCAGTTTCTCCACCATTTCTTTCTTCCCCATTACTACTTCTTCACCCTCAATTTCCGAAGGTCCAATGTCCATTCTTGCCTTTCTCTTACCTTTTACATATCCAAAACAAACTCTCGCATTTTTTTAAATATATTGCTAACTAGCTTACTCTGATATTTCTTCTTCTCTGGCCTTATTGCTTTTTTTAGTTATCGCCTGCTGGTTTTTAAAGGCTTCCCAATCCTCTGGCTTTCCACTAATCTTCACCACATTGTGTGCTGTTTCTTTTGCTTTTAGGCTGTCCCTGACTTCCCGTGTCAGCTATGGTTGCCTCATCCTCCCCTGAGTATATTTCTTTTTCCTTGGGATGAATTTCTGCTGTGCTTCCCAAATTATCCCCAGAAACTCCTGCCATTGCTGCTCCACTGTCTTCTCTGCTAGGGTCCCTTTCCAATCAACTCTGGCCAGCTCCTTCCTTGTGTCTTTGCAGTTACCTTCACTCAATTGTAATACCGTTACATCTGATTCCAGCTACTCCGGCTGATTGGTAGTTAATAGCGTCAACTGTATCTTTGAAGTGATATTTTCCTTTAAATATCAGCGTAGTCCTTTTAGGAACACAGAGCACTAACGAAAAGGCAATGGTTTAAGGATTGATAACTCAGGAACACAAAACTTTGCAACAGGAACTTATTGATGGATGCTAATAATATTACAGAACTAGAGGTGACAGACAATGGGACTTTCAAAATCAGAACTACCAAGAAATCAAAAGTATCCAGAAGAAGCATCATGACTTGTTAAAAGCAAACACTCTAAAGATTTTGAGAAAACTAACCAAATTGATCGAAACATCATTGCTAATTGACAAGAAACCTTGCAAATGCTTCTGCAACTATTCATCTCACTGCCAGTTGGAAAGAAAAGTGGTCCCATTGGGCTGTTTGCAAAGACCAGGCTGGGATGAAGTGGTTGAAAACAATTGTTATCAAATCATTGCCATTTCAGCAAAGT